ACTACTAGGAGGTCACAAAAGTTGTGGATATTTATAGACATGCACTGTGGATGCGATACTCCCTGGTGTGGATTAACGTCCGCACTAGTGAGTACTACGACTATCCGCAGTACTATCGTGATAATTAGAACAATTCGTTAATTAAGGCAAAAATGTGGTTCAGATTCCACAATAAACTGTAGGTCCCTTACTTGTCATTGGCTGTATGGTCTATTAATTAACAGCTGTGTTTAAGGAATATGTCAGCCTTAGTCACTACCAAGACTACAAGTTCGCACCACTCATCCTACACTAATCTCCATTCATACTTGAATTAAAATACCTACATCACCATTTCAAAGTATTAAAAAAGTATTAGACTACACTCTTCAGATAATCTAATAAGAACACTTACATCTTGTTATAAATGTGTTTATTAAATTCTTGATTCACTTATCTTGAGTTTTAATTTAATTTTATATATTTTCAACATTACAAAAATTAAACTGCAAGTTTATGTTAGTAGAGGTTAACTAAATAACGAGGCTGTGGTGTAAGGTTAACAAAACGAATCATCCAACTATCGTCCAACTAACGCGGTATAACATATTGACAGCGTTAATTTGACATGTGACGAGACATGGTTACAACACTGTGGGGACAGTAACACTGTAATCGTGTGTTAAATTGTGTGAGGAATTTTTTATTAGTATCTAATTCCTTCTATCTATTTTTCACTGTTATTGATTAGCACAAACAAATTTAACACTTAATTTCTATATTGTTTTGCAATTCAACTACATTTCCTAGTTTTGTTGAATCATGTTTTTTATTTCTTTTTTTGTACATTTAAATACAGGGTGTCCCGGAACTCTCTACCAATATTTTAGGACATTGATCCTGGGTAAGAATCATACCTAAATACTGTATCACATTTAAATTGTCCGGAAGTCCTTAGTTACTCACACAGCCGCCATTTTGTTTTTTCAGTTATTTTTTTCTGAGGAATGGTTAAACATACGAAATTGAAACTTTGCACAAACATTTATGACAACTAGAAAAAGCTACAAAAAAATTATGACGATTTTCCAAATTCATAAAACAAAATGGCAGCCATTTAAAATTTCCTTTCTTAAATAGCTCAAAAACCATTGATTTTACAAAAATTTTAATGACCGCCATTTTGTTTTATGAACTTGAATAATCGTGATATTTTTTTGGTAGCTTTGTCTAGTTGTTATAAATGTTTGTGCAAGTTTCCATTTCGTATGTTCAACCGTTCTTTAGAAAAAAATTAATAACTGAAAAAAACAAAATGGCGGCTGTGTGAGTAACTAAGGACTTCCGGACAGTTTAAATATAATATTTAGTTATATTTCTTACCCAGGAGCATTGCCCTAAAATATTGGTAGAGAGTTCCGGGACACCCTGTATATATTTCTTTATTTTATAGATAGGTGTATTCTTTTTGTTTGTACATGAGTATCTATGTTTTTTATAATTTTAATGTATAAAGGTTTTTACCACACAAAATGTCTTGGTTTTTGTAGATAGTTAAAAAATGTTATTTCTTTTTATGGGTAGGCCTATGTAAGTATGTTTCTTTTTCTTTTATATGGTATTATTTTTCCTAGATATTAAACTTTATTTATTTGTTTTGTAGATAAATAAGTATGGTTATTTGTTTTTAACATGTGTGAAAATGTTTTTTTTTCATTAGACTACTTTTTTCTTTTCGACGTTGCTTTATGTGTCTTTGACTCACATACATTTTAGTTTTTTTATAATATTTGAACGTACATTTTTGGTTTTTTATAAATATTACTATACTTTTTTGTTTTGTGGATATTTAAACTGCCTTGTTTCCGAGTACGAAAATATTCAAGACTAAGCCTAAGGCTACAGATAAGAGTTTTTTTATTGAGTCTATAATCAGCAATAAATGAATACCTACAATGCTCTTTTTTAACAAATAAATACACTTTTGATAGTTAATTAACGCAGATGACAGTTGAAATGTTAATGTAACAAAATACATTGAAGAGAATAAGTAATTATGCTAAATTATCACAGAATCACCCCAGGAAATATAAGTAATTATCGATGAATAACATTTTCCCAGTCACCTGTAAGAGCCGCGTCAAATCATTATTTACATTAATAATTAAAATACCAGCCCTGCTAGCTTTACCAATGAGTATGACACATCGTAGAATGGGCGAAACGTTTGGTACTTTATAAAATCTTAATTGTGTAAATATTGTTTTGACGCGGCTCTATCCTGAAGATAAAAAATTTAGAGACAATGGCTGCTTAAGCTTACGAACGAAGATCAATAAATAAGTACACGGCATGTAAACATTTCTGTAGTATAGTTTTACTTTAGCTCTTAGTTTATAACTTAGGATGGCTTGCAGCTAAGGATTTTTATTTTTTTTTACAATTTATTTATCTTTAGAATCTTAACACCGACTAATCAACCACTAAAAATTATTCAGCAATTTCATGCTGTATTATTGGATACAATATCACGGAGCTGGTTTCATAAATTATAGTTTATCATTTTATTTTTGCATCTTCAGGGTCATTGCAGGTTATATTTTTTTGTACGTTTAAAGACTAAACGATCATGAATTTAAAATAATTTGATGGTTGAATTTTAACGAACAATCTCTTTTAGTTAGTTTTGCTACAATTGTAGAATTTTGTAGGGAATTGGGAATTTTTATTAACAATATTCCTGAATCGTTTGAAATATAACAATTTATGATAATTTGGGATTCAAGTCATTAAATTATGATTTGCTAACTGATAATCCAAATCTTCGCAAATGAGGCGTTTCTGTCAAGAAATTACGTTTAAGTGAAACATCTGACAGCCCTTGAGAAGATAGACTTCAACTGTCATTTAGTTTTTCAGTTCCAATTATTGGAATTTATTAATAAAATCATTTTTTTGTTACTCTCATGCTAAGATGAAAAACTTTAAAAAATAATTCCAAGTGAAAATGTTCTCCAAGATATGAAATATTATCAAAGAAAATTTTAAAACCAGCTGTATTTTTCTTTTTCTCGTGTACAGTGAAATTCACACATAAAGGTAATACCACGAATATTAGAGCAGAACTATTTCTGGTGGTGATATTTATGGACAATACTATAAATGATTCAGTTATTGCGAATGCTTCTAAAACACGCAATACATCTTAGTTAAAGTTTTAACAGTGATAAGTAATATGATACATTAACTCCCTTTGAGAAAATTTTTCTTCCTGGAAATAGTTAAGCTTGGTTCTTAAAACAAATCTCTGGCTTAAAAAGGTTTGTTTGGCGGACACTTAATAATATTATCGTGGTAAAGTCTTTAATTCTGTCACTATTTAAACCTCAGACTAATTCCTCTCTTAGGAGTTGGTAGGAAGGTAATTAAATATACATTTCGTACTTTGTATCCCGTCTCATGGGGAATACCGCATGCGTTAAACAACGGTTTAGCCCTCCATGGATGTCAGAATAAACAATTCATTTCGAATGTATAAATTATGTTGTAGAGAAATTATTTCTTGTATATTCTAATGTTTACATAGCGTATTAGCAATTTATATGCTTCTTATGGTTGCAGCCTTTTGATAATGCATGAAAACAAATGTTTAACACCCTTAACACCGTAGCATGAGCAGATCTAACTTTTGGAATGTAAGTTTTGAATCACACTATTACATATTAGATTTAATTTAGTATGTAAAATTGTAATGTGTAGATTGAATAACAAGTTTCTAACATGACTGAAATAATCTTTATTTGGTATTTTAAAGTTAAAAATTATGTTTTAAAATGTTTTTGAACTGTGACACTGTACTTATTTCAACATTAAGCATTTACAATAGTTTAAAGCGGATGTGTCAAGATTTTTGCTTAATTTTCGAGATAAAACCGTTTCAAAGATGCTTGAAAATCTTCTATGTATCTCATGGCATTTGCTAGTCACAACTAAGATATTTAACATTCACGTCTCCTTTCCTGTTGAATAGAGTAGTAAAGTTGTTTTAAACTTTATCCGCACTAGGGTGAATAAGTATAATAAAGATCATAAAGAATACAGAATTTCAGGTCATAAACCGCATAATCAATGATGGTTGTTTATTTCTCATTTTCACGGTTGACATAAATATGGTCCACAAAATGGTGTCTTATTTTAAACTTATTGCGTTTGATTTTTTTTTTCAGTTCATCTAGAAGTATTATCAGTTCCGGGTTGTCCTTAGGCTAATAAGATGTTTTGAATGTTAACGTGATAGGTAACTGATATATGAGTTTAAATATAAATACGATGGTCCCTATTTCAAGCATGAGCTAAACCTCCACGTGAGTTAATTGTAAATGTTTTCTTTTGGAACTGACAATTTTATTGTGTTCTGACATAAATTTAATATCTTATGAAGTAAAAAACCTTTTAATATTTGCGAATAAAAAAATTACAAAATATTTGTTATTTATCCCACACATTTCTGATATTTAAATTTGTTTAAAGTAATCTTATAATTTGAGGTCCTTAACATTGTTAATTGTTGTAAATATCATATTTTAATATTATTCAATCGTTTTACATAGCAAATATATTCAAGGAGTTTTTGGAAACTTCCGCAACAAAACAAATAAATGTTTGTAATGATTAAAATTCTTTTTAATCGATTCTTATTCACTTAAAACAAAATTTCCCCTAAAACTACTTCTAAGGACCCATTACAAGATTCAAAGTTATTTTTCATCGAAATATTGGCATGCTTGTTATTTAAAATAGAGTGCATATTATGTTAGACGCCGTATTATTCTGTACTTTCGATAATATACTGGACGTAAATTCATGAACTACTTCACCACTCATACCCTAGGCCTATTTAATCGTACTGTAATTTTTATTTGGAATATTATTCGTCAAATCATTTACACTTTTCTTACCTCTCTTTGGTATATTATATTAACATGTTTATTTCATGATATTTTGCCAAAACAAATTCCTACCTTTTTCGTGAGAGTTGGCGGCTACAGACGAACGTAAGAGATATGGGAAGCTGTAGTATCACGTGGTCAACACAGCGCGGGAATGAACGGCGCGAAGGGCTGAACTTGTATATATGGGGGTGATCCTCCCCCACCCCACCCACGCCGGCCAATCGCAGCACTTCTACCTGTTGAGGGGGGGCATTGTTGAGGTGGCATAGTTTAAAACTGGTTAAATCCTAGTCTGCTAACTATACGGGGTTAACTCAAATAAGCTTAGCAATGGTTGTGCAAAACGTGACTAGTTACACTAATGAATTTTATACGAGGTGAAATTAATTCAGTTGAGGTATTTGTTAAGAATTGCGAATACTTATTCATCAATTTTTGCAAATATAAAGCAGGGGTTAGTATGATCTTCGCTTGCAAAGACATGAGTTTCGAAAAGATTATAAGAGTAATGTAGGAGAACAGTCAAAATAGTTTGTAAAAATAAAAATAAGCCCCTATGGGGATTCTTTATACACTTGTACACCTATACAGTATAGAACAATTGTATATCAAATCAATATTTTTACCTTAATATGGATGTGTTTATATACTTTATACTTTTTTTCGATGAAATTGCGACCATACAAAGTAGGTATTTTAAGCCAAGTATGAATGGAGGTGAGTATATTAGGTTCTGTATATGTAATTGGATCAAATATAGTACACCAGTACACCATGTTAGTAGATCTATAAAATAACTATCACAGTATGAAAAAAAAAAGAAATATAACTTCAACCCCAGCACACTACCCACAATTTCTCAAGGTGATATTCTCTTCTAATAATAAAAGCCGTTACGAGTAGACTACTTACAGGGATGTCTAATTTAATATATAATTAGATACAAGTTACCTGTAACCAGTGGCAGTTTTATTACCTTGCCAAGAGGGGGCATCGGAGGGGTGTCCCATCCCCGCCAAGAGAAAGGGGGTCAGTCATCCTCCCTGTAAAAGTTTGTATTTTTTAATGCCGTTTGGTGACTTTCTAAAACCATCGCTATAGTGTCTAGAGCTGTATAAAAAACATTCATGATGTTATAGGACGAAATGTATGTTTTTGTCTAATGTAAGGGGCTTATCCCCTTTAGCCTTCCCATGGCACAGCCACTGGCTGTAACTGGTACGGATAAAATTGTCAAAGATGTGTATACTGACTTCAAGTACGAAATACCCTTCATGGTATTACTGTTAGTTATACATTTAGTACGCAAGCTGTCCGGAATATGCAGTACAAAACTAACTTCTGTTTTTATACATAATTTTATCTACAACTACTGGTTTTGGTCTATCGACATTCAGTAGGTAAAGTATGGCTTTCACTTGTTTTTCAAGCGGCAACTCATCTTTGTTCCTTTTAGTACGAGAATTTGGAGTGCACTTATGTACAATTATTTCTAAGGACCTTTTGCGAACTTCATTCAACGAGAAAAACATATATACTCGTACAGTATTTTAATGGAAAACTGTCTTCACTGACAAAGATATGGATTTTACATCTAAGTTGTAATTATATTACAAAGTAATCATTCAGTGTTGCAGAGGAGATTGCCCATTGCTGCCTTCCTTTCATATCCTAACTATATCAACATCTATCTGACGCTGAGGTTTACCGACTTAATAAGTGGAACCGTGGAACTAAACATAAAATGGCATAGAATATTTTTACTACCAATGCATGGAAATGATCACATTGCCATTACCTGTAAACAGTACGCAAAATACCTTATTTCTACTCGCAAAATCAGCTGATTTCACAGGGTGGCCATCTTCGGTTCTCAAGCAGCAATGACGTACTTTATGCGCTCTTTAGTTTAGTAAACATGCTAGAAAAAATCTGCGTCAGTTTCTTACAGTGATGTTAATAACAAATATCACATGAATATTTCAAATTGTGCTCACAACATTTTTTCCCAAATATTTCTTTATTTTACTCAAAGCATAAGCTCAGAGGGGAACGTATTTAAATCATGTGGTATTGACATGGTGCAAATATAAGTGTACTAAAGAAAATCATTTATATCTTTTACACCAGAGAACAATATTTTTAACACTAAATTATTGGATCGACAACCAACGCTGTAACCATTTAATTAACATACTGTAGTCATTTTACTCCACACAAAATACGAACCCGGAAAACTGACTTAGGCCAGTAAATGCATTACGTAGCGAAACGTGAGTTAACATTTTTGCCGAACAACTCAAGCCTGTGAGGGTAATGGGGGCGAACTGGGAGGTAATGGGCCGCCGAAAATGGGCAATGCCTTTAGACGAACAAACAGCTCTTAAACATGTTTATCGAATATGGTAATCATTATCTCAACTATATGAAAACATATTTCACGCAAAACATGTTTTCTAATAAAATGTTGTTACTAAATTAATTTTACCTACGACCGTTTTTTAAGGTAGCAGTTTCAGTTCAGTTCATAGAAATATCTTTTACATAGCATCAGTGTTTACTTACATTACAGCATAGTTTTACTTAACAACACGAGTGACGGACCAATGAGGTTCAAGGATTGAGAGAGAAGTAAATATTGTAATGATTCTAACTTCGACTAATCAGCTGTTCAGACCAATTTAATTGTTGAGTGGTGCAAAATTAGTGTTTGGTACAATGTTTAGTTTCACCACTGTCAATGGCAATAAAAGGGTATTAACGAAAACATAACCTCTCTTAGAAGTTATGAGTAGTGATTTTTAGTAATTAAAACACTGTCGTAGGTAATAGTAGTGTACGCAACTCGCGTAAATAGTGTTAACGCAATCGTTGCGTAAACTACAACCATAAAATCACTCGCCTGAGTTTATTTATTGCTGAGAAATACTGACTTGTGAATTCATTCTTCCATACAATCGCATTGTACCTTGACAGCTGATGCAAATTGTTATGTGGAAATCAAATTAGATTCTATTCACTCAACGGAATTTATTCCTAGAAATGATTGTCAAGTCATAACAAAACCGCACATCTTTGATACATACGAGAATGATCACTTTGATTATAAAGACTTTATTTGGCTGAATGACATTAGTTGCTCTTGGAGAAGATCCACTACTCCATTTAATTATTTAATTAACTTCTTACTATGCCTAAGCATTGCACTAGTGTTTTTTATCATTTAGATGAAACTAAACTTTTGTCAACAACACTTTAGTTTGTAAATAGTTATTATTATTATATTATTATATTATCTATATATTAATATGCAAGGTTGTTTCTTTAAAACCTTTTTTCTCAACTCAAGTGCATCGGAAATCTACGCATACTGTTAGAAAGATATTTTTCTGCAGATGTGCAGAATCCCTTTATAAATAAAAAATAAGCTAAGTTAATTTGAAACTTCAAAAATTAACATGGGCTTTATGGGTTACCATGATGGTGACGAAATAACAACGAAATATAAACAGAAAATCAAAACAAATTAAAGAAATTCCGATTTCATGTTTTATTTACATCTTGGTGTGAAAATAGAGAAATCTGTAAATTACATTAATTTTTTGTCGAGTTTTTGACCACTGTATTTTTTGACCCTGAGTTTTTGTACCTCTAGTTTACCTCTAGTTTTTGTATATGTATAATTATATTATAGGTACCTATTATTAATAATAATTATTAGTTAGTCTGTAGTGTATTTTTATTTTATTGTTGTATGTTTTCTGTAAGTGTTTAATTACAGTGGTGCTTGTTGGTTTAAGGTATTGGTAACACCTTTTTGTCTATGGTAACACTATGATTACTTCACAAATTTTCATATTCGTGATTTTTTGCTTAATTTGTGTAAGCTTTCAAAGACGTTGTTCATTGTGGGAAAGGAGCAGTTCAAATAAAATAATTCAAATAGCTGAAAGTAAACCTTAACTAATTCATTCAACAATACATAGGAAAATCTGTATTATTTTAAGAGGCTACTTCAAGAACCTTTATCAAAAACAATAAATTAAAATCATGAAAATAAGCAAAATTTTGTTAATGTAAAACCTGTCAACCAGCATCTATAGCCAAAGCTGGTAAAGGCAACCGTACACAAGTTTCTAGTGTAAAGCAACATCAACCAGTGTTAATTTAAGTGGGTCCAAAACTCATTACGAACTGTTTGGTGTAAAGCGAAGCGAGCTAATAACTTGACCTGTACTGCAACTGTTCGTTGATCCTAGCAACAAACACTTTGAGGGTAAATCGTAAATCACAACCTTCATCAAGTAACATGTTCTTCTTATTTATAATTTTAGCGAATTTCCCTATAGGGAAGTATCAGCGAATTTCCCTGTAGCTACTACCGTAGGTCTAATGGTAAGACTTGAGCCCAGACCGATTTACTTTTTAATTTTGATGTTCCCAGAGGCCAAAAACATTATTCGTTCAATTTTTTATATGTATATGTGTCTGTGAACGCGATAGCTTGAGTAATTTTTGTCCGATTTTGATTAAATTTGGTATAGAGGTATAAGGCGGGATAAAATTGAATGAGTTCGCGAACCAGCATGATCCGACCATGGGAACGGGGTTGTACGGTGGGGGGGGGTTATGGGGTAAATTTGGGTTTTCTCATTTTTGGCCCTCAAAACACAAAATTTTCAGATTTCTCTCAAGGCCTTTTAAAGAAGTTAAAAAACAAATAATTTAGTATATCAACGTGTTTTTGTGTTATTGGTAAAGGAGAATATTAAAAAATTGTAAATTTAAATTTCCAATGTTATCCTTATGGAGGATATTTTAAAATTTTACTTTTATCTCATTGTAATTGTATCTTAATAGACGGCGAACTGAAAAATAAACGCATCCTACAACAAAATAACCCATTGAAACTTGTGACAACTATAATGAAGACTGTGACAACGGAAGTTACCTGCTGAACTTTGTACAAGTTGTTTTAACAGAGAAGCTATCTGTTAATTATATCTCTGTCTAGCTTGCAGCAAAGTTTTCCAAAGCCTCCATCTTTTACTTTAATTCGCTGTAATCTAAAAATTGTTTTGTTCAGAATAGTTTAGAGATTATGTGGTTAATTTTAACAAGACCTAGTAAACATTAAAGCTTAATACAAATCGG